TGTGTGTATGTGTGTGTGCAGGTGAATGTGAACATCCTGGAGGCTCAGAAGCTGGTAGGAGTGAATATCAACCCTGCAGTTTTCATCAGAATGGGGAAACAGAAAAGGCACACAGCGACGCAGAAATCCACCAACTGCCCCTTCTATAACGAGGTACAGAGAGAAGAGTAACACAGAGTAATACAATTACAATACAGTACAATACAGTAGAATACAGTACAGGGTAATACAATACAGTACATTAGACTACAGTACAGTACAGGATAATACAGTACAATAGTATATAGTACAGTACAGTAGAATACAGTACAATACATTACAGTAGTATATGGTACGGTACAGTAGAATACAGTACACTACATTACAGTAGTATATGGTACGGTACAGTAGAATACAGTACAGTAGTATATTGTACAGTACAGTTGAATAAAGTAGAATACAGTACAATAGTATATGGTAAAGTACAGTAGAATACAGTACAGTAGTATATGGTACAGTATAGTAGAATACAGTGGAATACAGTACAGTAGTATATGGTGCATTATAGTTGAATATAGTACAGTAGAATACAGTACAGATGTTTACTTCCTCTTCTCTCCTCTTTCAGAACTTCCAGTTTGAGTTTCAGGATTATCCACAGATCTTCTTTGATAAAGTGATAGAGATAAAGGTCAGTTTCACTCTTTTTTCACTTCTGTTTCTACTGCTGTTGCCATGGTGAGAGGCCTGGGCGTGAACACCTGTAATGTCATCTCCACTCAGGTCTTCCACAGGCGGATGCTGGCCTTCCTGATGACCCACATTGGAACCTTTAAGATTGACCTCTCCACCGTGTACAACCAGCCAGGTACCAGTACTGTTCACAGTGCAGTACTCTGATCAAAATACTGCAGTACTCTCTGACTTCTAACCTGTCTAACGTCTCCAGACCACCGCTTCTACCAGAAGTGGGCTCCTCTCACCGACCCGGCAGACACCAGGTCAGGGGTCAAGGGATACGTCAAGGCAAGTCTCAGTATACTGATGAAGGGAGACGCTTTGAGCATGCCCAGTCTGCCCCCATCCTCCTCGTCCGGAGCCAGTGAGGACATAGAAAAGTCAGTAACAACACATTGTGAATATCATAAAGCATCGTCAAGTGAATCGTCATTAGACAAATACAACCACACAGCACACAACTACACAAATGTGTGATATACCTTGACTAAAAATTAGGTGTAAGAACTTGAAGTTTAAACTTATGAACAACTTGTGTGACCGTGTTGTGATGCTGTGTTTTCCTTGCAGGAACCTGTTGCTTCCTCGTGGTATGGCTTCTGAACGACCGTGGGCTCGGTTCCGTGTTCGCATCTACAAGGCAGAGGGCCTGCCCACCATGGACTCGGGGCTAATGGCCAAGATGTCAAAGGTCACTGATCGGACGATCTTCATTGATCCCTACGTGCAGGTTACCTTTGCTGGACAACAGGTACTGGTACCACCATTAGAATTGTTGATTGTATATAATGGATAAAGGTGAACCCATATAATAAACTATAGGAACGATGAAGGGATGAGGGTCATGGGCTGGAGGATGAGGAATTGATGGATGGAGGAGTTGGAGAAGATGAGGTGGGATGTGTTGGTTTTTAGAGTCAGAGAAGGGAAACCGTCTCTTCTTAGCTCTTAATTAATGCCTGAGTGGTTCCTGTATTTAAATAAGAGAGAGAAGGGGAGAAAAAATAGAAAGAAAGGATTTTGGGGGGAAGGATGTGAAAACTGAGCCAAAGAGGGAGTGGACTGATAAGGTGCGCTTATGGTCTTTTTATGCGGAATTGAGATGATTTGTAGTGTGGTATTTGTTCCTGAACCTAGTTATAAAACGTAATTTGTTGAATGTATTCTTTATTCAGGGTGAGACGTCGGTCGCCAGTGCCACCAACTGTCCAGTTTGGAACGAGGAGATCTCCTTCATTGAGCAGTTTCCTCCTCTGGCACAGCGAATCAAAGTCCAGATTCTTGATGACGCCAAAATGGGAGACATCGCCTTGGCAACGCACTTCCTGGACTTGCTGCAGATTTCTGATCCCACCAGGAATGGTACGACCTGCAGTTTACGCAATACAATACACTTGGTACTCTACTGAGGTCAAACTTTGAGAAAACCAGGTCTTTTTCTGACACAGGCTTATATCAGAGACATGCCTTTATTTCAAGGTTATTTGATATTTCAGCAAGAAGAAGCCTCCTGTTTTTTAATATTTTCCTGTTTTTGTTCATTGTTTGTTCACTTAATAATTCCAGTTGCTTCTACTTTGCCATTTTTAATCGTTAAGCTACCATCGATCAACTTTACCTGCTGAGATATTTCAAATTAAAGGCCTCTCAATGTTTCAAAGTGCATAATTCCTCCCTATCCTTAATCTGAAACATCTGAAGGAGGAGTTTAACTGACAGTAGTCATAGAATAGTAGATTATTTGATACCAGCTTTTATTTGAGAATTTATGGTAACAGGGAAACATCTGTTTGTCTGCAGGGTTTAACCCCACCTTCGGTCCATGTTGGGTTAACTTGTACGGTTCTCCTCAGAACTCCACCCTCGGAGACGTCCACCAGGTAAACCAGGGAGACACGACCAAATCAAACCTGACATTTGACACAATAATAATTTAATACAGTAAGTCATAATAGGTTTAAGAAATACACCTAGATTAAAGAGAATATTGATACAATTGTAAATATAAGGCAACAGCTAGCAGCTGCTCATCTTAATATAGTTACCAGGCAACCAGTGGAGACTCCAGGAACTCACTGTTTCCAGCAGGAACTGTGCTGCATAACCGCCCATGAAATCACAACTTGACTTTTTAACACACACGTTTTTTGTACGTATTAAACAAATTAGGTATAATTGCGTAATTAGTCAGCTTTAAAGGTGCCGAACTAATTCCTTTACTCTCCAGACCTCTTACAAAGGGCAACTGGTGTGTGCTTTTTCACTTGTGACCCTGCCCTGTAGTTCCTTTTTCAATCTGCAGGATTAGAATAGACTAAACAAAATTGATCTAGACCGAATTCGACTAACCTTCTCTCTTCTCCAGGCTTTGAACCAGGGTCTGGGTGAAGGAATCTTCTACCGTGGTCGAATCCTCCTTGCACTCTGTGTGGATGTTTACTCCTCCCCCAATGCCGTTACCACAGATACGAGCTCTGTTGCCCTGGGAAAGGTACCTACTTCCTGTTTTACATAAGAATTGAGCTGTATACACACGTAAAACAACAATACATGTCAGGTTATCAGCAGCTTTTTCCTGTCGCATGGTTATTCGGAGCCAGGATGTTGTTACCTTGGCAACCACAATATCTAATAAAATCTTATGTGACCTTGATGACTCTCACATCACCTCGTACAACCTCACTGACTCTTATGTGACTCCTTCTTGTGTGTCCTTGAAGATGAAAGGAGCGCTGGGTAAGCTGGGACTGAGGAAGAAGAGGAGCAGCAAGAAGAAAGACAAGAAGGAAGGTCAGTCTACTGAGAAGAAGCAGGAGAGATTTGAAACGAAATTTTAAAGAGGGTCCCTATCATCAAGAATGTTGGTGAAACCGAATGGAGAGAAGATTTTTTTGTTTAAAGACATCACAGAAAAGACCGATATTAGTTTAATCTCTGCATGTTCATTACATAGAGAGGTCCAGGACATGTTTAGCCTCAGCAAAAACCTCTGTGTCTGCAAGTTAAGCCAACGTGGAAGTAACAAAAACTGCAGTTCCTTGAACGGCCACTCTACGCCGTCTCCTAGCTATGCTTTGGACGTTGAAACGATCAAATGATGCTATGGTACATTAAAACAATTTGAAAAATGAAAGTGAAAAGTGAAAAACACTGTCCTTGTTGATCATAATATTACACCACCAGTCTGATGTGGAGAGGGCCATGGGAATTTTCTTATTATTTATATTGTTTATTCATTAGTTTGTTTTCTTGTTATTGCTGTAGCATCTCCGGCTGCGAGTGGATCCGTTGACGAGTCAGGAGAGTCGGAAGTTGAGGTACCAGAGGCTGTTACCGTGGAGGTCGAGGAGACCCACCCACTCCCTGAGGTCAGTGCCATCATCACCAACCACCATCTAATATTTCAGAATAAATAACTTACTTTCATGTCTGATATTGAGAATAAATTAATATGTTGTTTGGGGTTCTTTCAGACTTTCTTTTTCTCTGTCACATGTGCTTTGTTCTCTTCTTAAATTCAGTCACCCATCAGACTTAGATCCAGCAGTGGAGAGTAGAAGAATATTTTGAATATTTTGGGCTTAAACAAAATTAACAAAAATGTAAAAAAATAATTGAATATCATCTGCATAGTAGATGAATATCATCTGCATAGAAGTGACAAGAAATACCTTTAAAATGACCCATTACTGTATCTGCCCTAGTGGAAGGATATACAATATTAAGTAAACAAAAGAGGACCTAGGAATGAACTTGATGAGGAAGTGTTCCTGGTAGAAAATGGAGAGAATGATATCCTGCAGCTCTCAGATTTTTCTTATTATTTTTTTGTCCTCAGGGTTACCTGGGAGAGAGGGAGGAGTTTCTGTTGTTCGCATCTCTGTTTGAAGTCACTATGATGGACCCATCTATAGGAACCAGACCGATAACCTTTGAACTCTCCATAGGTAAGAAGTGTATTCTCTGTGCTGGATATAACAATAATTGGCTTACAGACAGAGATCAGCAGCCTACCTTCACACGCTTCTCTGTGCTGGATATAACATTTTAGCCACTTCAGTGTAACATAGCCAAATATGGCTGCCAGTTGTGTGTTGCCTCAATTCTGGGGGTATGGACCACGGTTAATTTTGATTTCAAAATATGTTCTAGTTAATGCATATGGGCCACTGCTGAGCCAGACCATTTTGACTACCATTGCTTAAGATATGGAATTTTATTTCCAACATCAGCTGTTCTGTTTCTGGCAGGGAATTATGGGAAGGCAGTGGAGGTTGGGATTTCCAAGAAGAGCCAGAGCAAAGAGGAGCTGAGGAAGAGCAGGGAGGAGCTTAGGAGGAGCAGGGAGGATCTAAATGAGGAGGTGCAGGGTCTTCTGGAGTCAGAGGAGGAGCTGGAAAGAGAAGAAGTGCTGATTCCTGAACCTGAGAACAGATCTCTGTCTGCTCCCATGAGACCCCAGCCCACCGAGTATGACAGGTAAATAACCACTACACCTACACTGTTACACAATCCATCCATCCATTTTCTGCCGATTCTCCAGCTGCCGGTTGTACTGGCAAATGGCTAAATCCTTCTTCCTGGCCCCATCATCCTGCTACCTCTCGGTGATCCCAAACCTTTTGTCAGGTCAGGTCAGGTGGGATAGATGCCCCCCAGGTGTTAAGCCCTGGTTCTTTTTCCTGAATTGTTAAACAGTTTTAACTTCTCCATGGTTTTTTCCTGAACTGGACCCAGTCACCCACATCTGAGCCTTGCTTCTGGGACTACTGTAGCTGCAGCCCCTCTGGCCTACTCCATTGCTGTTGCTCAGCAAGTATATTGGGTCATGATTCTTGGAGGAGTAACTGCTGCACCTACAGTAACTACTAGGGGTGTCACGATTCTCCAGATCCATCATTCAATTTGCCAGTTTACTTACTCCACCAGTCAACTGGGAACAAAGCTTGACTTTCCTTACCTAAAAACCTTGTGACACCCTTTATAATTATTGCACAAACACTACCCTGCTTTCTGTATGCTTGACTGTGTCGTCTCTCTCCTTGTCTGTCTCTCTCTCAGGTCTTTCCAGTGTATTCCTCTTCAGTCCCCTTCCGTGAAAGAGAAGCCTTGTCTTTATGTCTGGAGCCAGTTTGAAGATCACAGCTTTCGTCTCTATCAAGCTAACTGGCTCAACAAGATGGCCGACAGGCTGGTGAGAGTCAAGTGATCTTTGATTTCCATTTGTGTCACACAATTCTTTCAAACTGTGGTTTCAAACATTTCCCTCGCTCCTTTGCTCCCCACTTCTCTTTTAGGAGATTGGTCTTGATGAGGTGGAACGTCTCTTGAGGAGGCCAAGGAGTAACGCAAAGGAGCGTTTGGTGGAAGTGTTGCTGGAGATGGTGGCCTCCTGCAAGTAAGTCTCCTGATTCTGAAAATTGTATTTCATAGTTTGATTTGATTTGATTTGATTTGACTTGTCATTATGCCTGTCTGTGTCTGCTCTCCTGTCCACCCCCCTTTATCCTGTCTATCTCTCTGCAGACAGTTTAGTGTTTTCTCTGACAAGAGGTCTCAGTCTCGTCCCAACAACTTGGACAGATGCAGGAAAGAGTTTATCAAGAAGAATTTGGTGAGTGTGACATCTGTCTCTCTTTCTACCTGTCACCAACTACCTGTCTATTTATTACTTGTATATCTGTCTGACTTAATGTCTGACTGTCTCCAGGTCTTGCTAGCCAGACAGGCAATGAGGGCCAGGCGGAGGATCACCAGGCGGACGGCCAAACAGCGTTTGATGGATAGCAGGAAATTCCTGAGAAAACTCCGCCTACTGGCTAAAGAGGTCAGAGTTCATAGAGTGGTCACCATAGGTCACCACAAAGATGTCAGAAGTTGCTGTATGTTCAGTATATCTGGGGTCTGACGTGCCTCCCCTCATGCACCCTCTCTCTAGCCCCAGACTACCATCCCGGATGTATTTTTGTGGTTACTGAGTGGAAGCAAGCGATTGGCTTATGTCAGGATCCCTGCCTACTCCATCCTCTTCTCATTGGTAGAGGAGAAGAGGGGACGGGACAGTGGACGAATCACCACACTCTACATGAAGGTAACACTGATGTCTGTCTCTCAAATCATTGATGGTGCTCGCTGTTGTGTCTCTAAAATCATTAATGATGCTCACCATTACGTTTGTAAAATCATTGATGATGTTTACCATTCAGTCTCTAAAATAGTAGATAGCACTCACCATTACATCTCTGATGCTTGCGGTTTTGGCTCTAAATCATCATTAACCCTCACCATTCTGATGTACTCTGTTCTGTCTCTAAAATCATGGATGACTCTCACTGTTCCATCACATTTATTGGTCTCTCTGTCTGCCTTTCTGTTTTTCCAGTCACCAGGAGGTGCAGCAAGTGAGATCTTTGCGAAGCTGGAGGTCTACCTGTGGCTCGGTCTGGCCAAGTACAGTAAAGAGGCCACCTCCTGCTTGCCAGAGGAGTTTCTCCCAGTTTATGAAGAGGAGGGGGAGCAGAAGGGGGTGGTCCCTGTGGGGAAGAGGAAACTTCCCCTTAGTCTGTCCTGCCAGGGTGAGTCAGCTGACTATGTCCAACAGGCAGCATGGAATCTGCACAGGATAATTTCTTAGGACTTCTCGTCAGTTGTTAGAATGGATGGAGAAAAGTTTGTCCTTGTTTTTTTTTTTTTGTTCTTAGTTTTATTTGGACTTAAACCACAAAGCTTACCTGGACTCAGCAACTGTCAAACTCTCTGTCCTGGTCAGGTAAAAATAGACCTATCTCTTTGTTTCTCTATCTCTGCAGACAGCAGGTACTTCCAGCTACGATGTCACCTGTACCAGGGACGTGGCCTGATAGCTGCTGATGATAATGGCCTATCAGATCCCTTTGTCAAGGTCCTCTTCTCTACACAGTGCCAGGTCACCAGGGTAGGTACAACTGTCGCACTCATTATAATTGTTCATTCAATGAATGAGTACACTGATTTTAAATTCTGTGACCTGCATCTGAAGTCTTCATGGTTTAGAAGCATATGAGCAGCAGGAGCAGAGATATCTGTTGTCTTAGTAGGGTCAAGCTCCAAATACCACCGGATTGTAGATTTCCCATAATGCAATTTCTTTGGACCTTTCCTGCCTGATAAACATTCATATCTCCACACACCTCCAGCTTGACTCCTCTCTTTTCTGTTGGTTTCTGTTGGTATTTTTTAGTCTCCAAGCCCAAGGAAGATCAAACTGTTTTGACATGCTGTATAGTACTAACCATTAACAATTAACTGAACTTTCTGTCTAATATTTGGAGTGCCCCTTTAACGCACACATTTTTATACATATTCTTTGTGTATAGGTGATGTCTGAAACACTCTCTCCAGCCTGGTGTGAGAGTTTGTTGTTTGACAGAGTTCTGCTGGAAGGAACAAGGGAGGAGCTCCAACAAGACCCGCCCCTCATTATCATCAACATCTACGACTACGACGCCATGGTAACGCTGATGTTCTTCTTATTATCCTGCACGTTCTGCTGCTGTCTCTGCACTTTCAGGAAGTGGTGTTATTACACACTTTGTGTTTGTGTGTTTATATGTGTGCAGGGCAGTCCGAAGCCTCTTGGTCGGGCTTTTGCCGAGCCGGAGTTTAAAACTGTGGAGCAGTTCTACCAGAAGCCCCACCTTCGTTTCTATGACATCAGCATGGGGAGGGCCCCTGCTGGCGAGCTGTTGGCCGCCTTCGAGCTTATCGAGCTGGATTACTCTGGGTTTGGAGAGGTGACACCTGTCAATCAATCACTCAGTCAATGTATTTAGTACATCTTGAGTCCTATTTGAGTAGCTTTGCCAATCCTTTCTATCACTAATAATAACATTGTTTGGATAATGAATAATGTGACATCACTAAAAGGAGGTTTGACAGATCCTACCTGAAGGGGTTCTCCTACCAGGTGATGTGAAAAGAATCAAACCTGGTAACAGTTCTGTTTTGGGCCCCCTCCTCTCTTCCCTTTACACAAGGACACACAGCTATTCTTCTCTTCCATCTCAGTTGACAGTCAGGTGGAGGCACCAATCACTTGCCTGGCAGTGATGTTATGTGTGACAGTGAAAACAAATACCATGTTTGTAGATGATTGAACTTAAAAGCAGCTTGTACAGACAGAGAAGTACGGCACCCAAGACTGGACCTTGGGGCATGCCACATGAAATATTCATGTACAGAACTTCCCAAGAAAGACAAAGTAGTCCCAACCCATTATGTCAGACCTAAACTAGACTAGAACTAGGCCAATCCATGTTCCTCACCTCTCAATGAGGAGATTGTATTAAATGCACTAAGGTCGAGAACCAGAATAGATGTTTCTCTGGTTTTCAAATCTATTCTGATATAATTCACCACTTTGAGGTGCTATGTTCAACACAAAGGATAACCCAATTTCTCCAGTATTTTGCTAAGAAACATCAAGTTGGAAATTGGTCTAAAGTTACTCATGTTCTTTATCTTCAGAGGAGGCCAGACCACAACAGTTTTAAAGGTGATTGGAAAACAGCTGAGAGATGTCATGCAGTAGTTCTGTTGACAAACAGTCAAGTACCATCTTAAGAAAGTAGCTTGGAGTGGAGCTAGGGCACAAGTTGAAGATGTAAGAGAAGAGGCTACCATGTTTAGCTGATAGAAAAGATAGACAAAGACACCAAAAGAGTTGTAACCAAATGGAATTATCTTTCAACAAAAACACAAACAAAAAACAGTATGCATTAATTAATTCTAGAGAGTGAACTATAAAAATCATTTCACCCTTGCAGCCCCGTCTCCCTATCAGTGTGGAGCCTCAAGAGCTGACCTGCCTGGAGGAGCAGGGATTTTACATAATCCCAGAAGGAGTCCGACCTGTTCTTAGGACCTTCAGGATTGAGGTTTGACACACAAGCAAGGCCCTGTTGTAGACATGTTGCAGATATTAGGCGGTTGGATCTGTGAAGTAACTGACTACAGGATGCTACCTTTGCATTTTTGTGTGTGTGATCAGATTCTGCTCTGGGGCCTGCGGGACCTAAAGCGGGTGGAGCTTTTTGAGGTGTCACGCCCACAGGTGAAGATGGAGTGTGCCGGACAACAGCTGGAGTCTGAAGAGATTGAGGGCTTCAAAACTCACCCCAACTTCAAAGAGCTGGTCCGCTATATCGACGTGGTCAGTTTCTGTCATTAGCATACTGACATTAGTTATGGCTACTACAGTCCACAGATGTGGCTTAAAGAAATACAGCCTTCTTTTGCTGAATTTGAAGGACACACCTGGTTTATTAAGTGCATGTATATGGAGCAGAGACATGGCTAACATCCTTCTTCCTGCTTGCTTCTTTCCTCTTCCCATTTTTGGTCCAATCAGGAGCTGCCAGAGCAGGCCTACCTCCACCCTCCTCTGATGTTGTTCGTGGTAGAGCAACGGGCATTCGGTCGGCTCGCTCTAGTCGGGACCCACGTGGTCCAGAGTCTCATGGATTTTGCCCCTCCCGAGGTCGGGGGGGAGCCAGAAGAGGAGGAGGAAGAGCCAAAGGGTAGGAGCTATGAGTAATAAGGAATGAAAGTGGTATTTGCAGTAGTGCTGTCTACTATTAGTAGATTTATTTATTCTGAATACATTTTTGTAACACTCAGACAGGTACTATAGAAGTGTTTCCATAATGTTTTAATTGACCCTCTTTTGCTCTGTGCTCAGTTAGGCAAGCCATGGTAAATATCTGTGTAGTAAGATGCAGATTGCAGATTGCAATGAACTGAAGACCGCTGACGTCCGTATTTGACAAGCTGTGAATGAGATGAGAGTGTGAAGTGTGTAGGAGAAACTATGGTGGAAATGCAAGAAAACATAAAGTTTTGATTTTTTTGTTATAGTTATGGGTTGTAATGGACAATTACTGTCTTGTGGAGGGCTAAGCAATTGGTCAGTTATGTTTGTGTTAACGGTTAATGGTTATTTTCTAGAACTGAAGAGATCCAAATTGTAAATTGATTAAATTTATGAATTTATCCAGTGAGTTCTACAAAGATCTCTATCTTCACCTGCCATCAGCTGCACACTGATTGGATTGTTCTCACAGCTATGCCGTCTGGGATTCGTAGTTGACTTCTTTCCCAAAGTTTTTATGGAGACAGTTTCTCTGTGGGTCTCTCCAGGGAAGCAGAATACGATGAAGATCAATCCTCTGATGTCAATGAAGAATATCGGACTCAACAGCCTGCCAATTGCACAGTCAAAGATTCCAATCAACCCCATAAAGCTGGTTCGTGTACGTAGGTTAACTCCTCTTCTTTCTCCTCTGTGTGTTAAAAACACAAAACCCAAACTGATCAGACAGATTTAATTAAAAAATCAACCATTAAGGATTCAACAATAAGTTGATGTTTACACTTCGCCCCCTCAGTCTCCTCTGAAGAAACTGACGAAGATGGGGGAGGAGCTAGAGGAGGAACTGCCTGAAAAGGAGCAATTGGATTGGTGGTCCAAATACTATGCTTCTCTGGAGGAGATGGAGAAACTGGTGAGAGACTGATTTGCCTGATTTTAAAAATCAATTAAAGAAAGAAACAACCTTCGAGATTTAACTTTGTTGAACAATTTCAGAAAAATCAGCCAGTATGATGCCAGTAAGAAAAATTTGAAACAAATATAATTGATACATTTTCTTTACTCACAATGTTTGATGTCTGATGACTGTCTGCAGGCTGCTGAGAAGGAGGAGATGGAGGATCAAGCAGAAGCAGGTACAAATTTCACTCCTACTTTATTTCATTCTTAATATGTGTATTTTGCCATATTTGTATATTTAACACAAATATGAAAAAAACATATTATTTAAACTATATTAAAGCAACAACACGTACAGCTGATATTTCGTCTGTATTGAAGACAATATTAAAAAACCCAACTTCTCGATACAAATAATTAGCTCTCAGGAGATCTTCTTCTTGTGTCAGTCTGAGGGCAGTTTTTTAGAATCGGTGTTCCATTAAAGAGGTACACTACGTAGCAATGTAGTGTGTCCAAGTAGGTTGACACAGGATCATTGCAGCCATATTTGATAGTTGAACATGTAATTCTAAAACCAAAGCCATCAATCTGCTGCTAAACGCCTCCACTCTTCTGGCTGTAGGGATTTGTTCCCATTTATTCACAAGCGCATCAGTGAGGTCCAATACTGATGTTGGCTGATAAGCTCTCATTCAGCATTCATGTTTATCCTAAAGGTGTTGGATGGGGTTGGGGTTCACTGGAAGTAAGGGTCCCAAACCAGGAAAATAGACACAGACCAAAAGTACACTAAAATACATCACAAGGTTACCCACATACAAGACGTTGCCAGACATCAGATAGATGAAGCACAGCATGATGCATGCATGTGACAAGAGGAGCCACAACATTAAATCAACACAAAAAATTTCAACAGAGTTGTGTTTGTTTTCTCTTTCGTTCAGATGGAGGGGATCTGACTATGGCAAACATTGACGAGGAGGAGGAGGAAGAAGTGGTGGTGGAAATTGAGCCTCCCAAACGCAAGAAGATTGCCACAATAAAGGTGTGAGGTCACTGTGATTGATGGTTTACAGTCCAGTCTGTCAAAGGACATAGAAGTATCTAATATAATATAATATATTGGATTTATATTCATTCATTCAGGTAGACAAACATGAATCCAATGGGATAGTAATGTTGCTCTGTGTCTGCAGGATATGGAAGAAGGCAGTTCTTTGCTAACATGTTTGCCACAACAAATTTATACACACAATGTACAATAATATGTCAGATGCTGTCTCTCTGCCAGCTCTAATCTGATTAGATGTGTTGACAGGTCAGAACAGATTTAAAGTTCAAATAATTGATGCTGTACCTGACTGAGTCTTAACAACATTAAATTTAGAGTTTCATATATCAAGAAGCTGCATGACAAAAAAAATTCCTTTAGGGAAATTCATTTGTCCAAACCTTGGGACCTGATCCAAAATGGACCTTTGGAAAGCCTCCCCAAACATCCATCATCCAGATGGTTTTATTTTTTTATTCTTTTTCTCCTTTTTCTTCTTCTTATTTTTTTTTTTAAACTGCTTTTTTGTTTCCTAACTGTAGCACTTTGAGATCCTCTGATGAAAAGGCATTATAAATAAAATGTATTATTATTATTATTATCAATCCATCTATCCATTTTGTGCCATTTATCCAGGCCTGGGTCACTAAGGCAGAAGTACACCAGATGTCAACCTTCCCAGTTAGCTCTTACAGCTCTTTTGTGACGATTCAGAGGTACTGAGCCTAGAAACCAGCTAAGAAAAGTAATTTTGGCTGCTTTCATTCTTTCAGTCACTATCTGGAGCTCTGGACCATTTGTAAGTTGGACTGCAGGTTGACTGGTAAATAAAGGCATTCAAATTCAGACTGTTCTTCACAATGTCTGCAATACCCCTAATACTGCAACAATCCATCTATTGATCTCCTGGTCCCCTCCCCTTATGAAACCAAAACCTCAGTCCAGTTAGACCCCAGTCTAAAAAGACCAGGTATAGTTACAGTAGTGAACAGGACACCTTGATCCACTTTTGTAATCCTGGACATATGGACTAACAGCAACAAAGGGACCCTACGAAACCTGATTAGTCAGGATGTAATTTGGACCAGGGCCTGGATCAGGTACTAGGAACCGAGTGGACCTTGAGCTTCTTGTTCAGAACATGATTTATCTGTTGACAGATAGACAAGTGAAGGCAAAACAGATATGGAGTAACTCTTTGTGTGTTATGTGTGTTCAGCTGTATGCAGGTGATCTGGAGTCAGAGTTCAGTCAGTTTCAGGACTGGCTGCAAATCTTCCCGCTGTATAAAGGCAGAGCAAGTGGCGAGGATGACAATGAGGATGAAGAGGAGAGGCTGATGGGAAAATACAAGGTATTGTGGATGGAGACCTGTCTGCCTGTCTGTCTGTCTGTTACTCAGCAAAGAAATGTTCATTAATACATACTCTCCATTCCAAAGGGCTCCTTCCTGGTTTATCCGATTGATCCAGAAGACACAGAAGACACAAAGTGTCAGATAACCAATGGAATCCCCAAAAACTCACCGATTAAAGTCTTGGTCCGAGTCTACGTCATCAAGGTACCTGTCTCTCTGTCCATTCACAGTCTTTGGCTCACTTGAACAGTCCAACTTTTTTTTGACTTTTGACTTTTGTTACATTCAAGGATGCTCTGACATAAGCGATAAGAGGGTTTGCTGCTGCAACCTTTTTCCATGCAAGAAACAACTAAATTCTGCCTTTTACAATGTCCATTATGTGTTAACAGTGTTTGTATTTTACTGTGAGTTCAACTGCATCTTCTACTTCCTCTGCAGGCCACCAATCTGGCTCCCACAGACCCGAATGGTAAAGCTGACCCATATCTGGTGCTTCGAGCTGGAGAGCAGGTTCTGGACACCAAAGATCGCTACATCCCTAAACAGCTCAACCCCACATTCGGAGAGTCAGTACCTGTCTGTCTACCTGTACCTGTCCAACACTCTCTCTCTGACTGTCTGCCTGACTGTCTGTCTGTCTGACACTATCTTTCAGGGTGTTTGAATTCACAGTGTCTTTCCCACTGGATACAGAGTTGGTTATCAAAGTGATGGATCACGATCTTGTTGGGGCCGATGACGAAATCGGCGAGACGCGGGTTGACCTTGAGAACCGGTTCTACAGCCGCCACAGAGCCTCCTGTGGTCTGGCTCTTTACTATGACATGTTAGTACCAGTAGTAGAACAAATTGATACTATAGTACTAGTGCCATAACACATCAAATCTACAATAAGGTATTGGTATATTGGTAACAAAACTAAAACATGTGAAAACCAGAACTTACATTACTGTTAGATTAGAAACAGTAAGACATGTTAGAAATAGAACCAATGTCGTACCAAAACTAAGACACCAATAATAATACCAATACAACACATTAATAGTACAATTATGAAATATTAGTAGAGTAATCACCGTACTCAATAAAGTAAATGTTTACCTGGACTCTCTCTCCAGTGACGGTTATAATATGTGGCGCGATGCGAAGAAGCCGACGACCATCTTGGCTGAGCTCTGCAGGAAGAATGGCATCCAGTCTCCAGAGTACAGAACATCTGAGGTCAAAGTCCTCAACAAAATCTTCAAGATCCCACCTGATGCAGTACCTGAAGGTAGGACAGATATACAGGTAGACCTAACCAGTCCCAGTTTGTCATCTAAGAAGAGATTATATTTTCTGAAGTGTCCTTATATATTAATATATATATGTACTGAGCGGAATAACTTTCCATAACTTTCCCTCTGTGGAATCATATTTACAATCATGTACCACTATTAGTACTGCTACCACTACTACTACTGACACAATAGTACTACTGCTGCTCCCCCCACACTGTAGCAACCTCCAGTCAGTGCTGTAGCTAAGACCACCTTTGTCGAGTCCAAGACAATTCAGGCTATGTTGTCAAGGCAGAGTCCAAAGAGTTAGTTACCTGGTAACTATGGTGCCCGTTCTAGATGGATTTTTGAATTAAACCAATACCTGTTTGCTGAAACAAGTTTGCTTCATCATTGGTTTTGTTTTGAAGGAGGAGGTTACTTCAGAAAAACAAATAAACATATTGCTGAACTCCAACTACAATATTTGGTGTGTACTGCAAATACTACAGCACTGCCTCCAGCTGTACGAGCTCTAACAAGACTGTCAACAGTAACAATGTTTACAGCTCTGACAGCAGTGTTCTTGTTATCAGCTCTGTTGAAGAAGAACCAGCGGTCTCCAGAGGAGGAGGCAGAGATGGAGCAGCATGCAGCCCTGAGCGTGCTGCAGCGCTGGGGGGAGATGAACGAGTTCCTCCCTGGAGCTGTTTCCCTGGTCCCAGAGCACGTGGAGGTCCGGTCCCTGCTGAACGCAGACAATCCCGGGCTGCCACAGGTAAAAACAACACAAACAATAACTACAGTTCAAACTGTAATTGCAGCACATTGCCACTAGTATTACTACGTGTCATTGTGTCGTATCATGTTCCAGGGTTACCTTCATATGTGGGTGGACATGTTTCCTACTGATATCCCAGCTCCGCCCCCTGTTGACATCAAACCCCGCCTACCCGAACAGTAGGTCGACATAGTATAGTATATAGTAGAGTCGAATAGAATAGAGTTACAATATGAAACCTTTGTTGTTTTTTCCATGACAACAGGTATGAGCTGCGTGTGATCATCTGGAACACTGATGATGTGTTCCTGGACGATGTCAACCCATTCACTGGTGTCCCGTCCTCCGACATCTACGTTAAAGGGTTAGATTTAGTAACAAGAATGGAGACCTCGATTGTTTGGCTGTGAAGATTTCTTCTGTTTAATTCTGTCCTGATCTCTGTGCAGCTGGATAAAGGGGCTGGAAGGAGACAAACAGGAGACTGACGTCCACTTCAACTCTCTAACTGGAGAAGGAAACTTCCAACTACTGGAGAAGTTTGTGTATCCGCTTCCGACTACCTTGCCTATGGGTACAACACAACACACACACACACACACAACAACACACACACACACACTGACACCTGGTGACACCTGGACCTGCTGATGATCAACACTTCCACTGATCCCTACATGAATCCCCATGTTTATAGTGACTTTCTGACCTTTACTTTAGTGCCTATAGGGCTACTACAACCAATTAGTGTTTTCTGTCTTGAGATGCCAGTTGCAGTTTCCCAGAATCCAAGGGGATGTATTCAAATGTTCATGACCCAACTATATTCCCTTTACAATGAAACAGAGAAAAACCGCAGCAAATCCTCACATCAGAGAAGCTGAAACCAAAGACTGGTTGGAGTTTTTGATTGATGAATGATTGTCAGAATTTATATAAATTAATATTTTGTCTTTCAACTAATCAGTTGGTGATCAGGATCACATTTCCAATGTACAGCAAATATCAATATTTGATCACAATTTCCAGTGAAATTTTCAAATCTGATTTATGTTCCCCAGAGGTTGCGTCATTAACAGCCTGACCAAGGAGATACTGATTGATAAAGCTGGGTGAACAGATCTCATTATCTTCTCAACAGATCATCATGTTATTTCATACCTGCTCTCAGAGGACGAACCTTTTTAGATTTGAATGACACCATGATCATTTCTCTAGCGCCCTCAGGACAGACTTTACATTTTTAAAATGGATCAATCATCAAGGTGTTGGTTCATGTTGTGATTGTAATGAAGGCTGCAGCCACTAGGGGACACTAGCAGAATATTGTCTGGTTGTTAGTGGAAAGAAATCTCCTCATTTTGTTTTGTAGAAAGAAGTGGTGTACAAGAAGAAGGAGTCAATTTTCTCTTTGGAGGAGTCGGAGTTTCGACAGCCAGCTGTTCTGGTGCTGCAGGTCTGGGACTACGACCGCATCGCTGCCAACGACTTCCTGGGTGAGACACAAACAGACAGGACTATAACGTCTCAAATATTTTCAAAAATGTACCTGTTACTGAAACAAGCATATATTAGAGACAGGCCTTTATCTCTAATTTCCCCTGCGTTATAGATGTATTTGGTTACATTTTCTGATCTGCTTCTGTTTTAATTGAATGTTAATTTAAACTTCAACATCCTCCAGTTTTTGAGACTCATTATTTGAATACTTGCTTTTATTTGAGAATTGTTATAATTCACAACCTTCACTGTCAACGATTTAAATGTAGCTACTAAAACACTGAAATACAAATTTTCAGAAATCTCAGATACATTTATCTCCAAACAGATTTTATTTTATTTTTATCTTGGTGAACTGACCCTTTAATTTAATCAACTTCATCATCGTTCTTGTCTTCTTCCTCCTTCAGGCGCCATAGAGTTCCGTCTCTCCGACATGGTGCGAGCAGCAAAGGGATCCAATAAGTGTACAATTGAAATGGCAAAAGATCGTGTCAGCCCTCGACTTTCCATCTTTCGCGCAAAGAAGGTGAAGGGCTGGTGGCCGCTGACCCGCTTGAAGACAGCCGAAGACTTTGAAAGGGAGGAGAAGGAGAAGGAGGAGGCCAAGAAGAAAGGCAAGAAGAAGAAGAAGACGAAGGACAAGAGGAGCAAGATGAGAAAGGAGGACATCGAGTACACCGACAGCAACGGCAACACATTCCTGCTAATGGTACAAAAGAATCCAATATCCAGAAGATGCAATAACTACATATTGGCAGCTAAAACTTTTTTTTTCATGTAAATTACATAGAAATGTATAATTTCTATGGAAATTACTACAACTCAACTCTGGTTTGGTAATCAATACTAGTTTGTGTTTTGGTCGACCCTTCTTGTTTCTGTGTTTGAGTTTTGGTGTGATGGGGATGAATACTGACATTGAAACTAACCCTGAAACTGTGTGTGTAAAGGGGAAGGTGGAGGCGGAGCTTCAGCTGGTGACATTAGAGGCAGCGGAGGCCAACCCTGTGGGACGGGCCCGTAAGGAGCCGGAGCCTCTGGACAAACCAAAGTACGACACACACACACACACACACACACAGCCAAACATCAAGCAAATGCAACAACACAAAACTCTGCCTGCAGCCTTTTGTTTCACAAAGCTCTCACCAACGTCTAAAAGCCAGCCTCACGTTTACTCTTGTATGGTGGCTTTGTGATCAGTTAATCTACCTTTTTCTTTGCTTAGCTTCCTCCGTCAACATCCTGTTCGTCCGTAGAGGCTGCTGAGCCTGGTTCAGTAGCCCGCTCAGTCGGCTCTGGTTCTTGTGCTTATTCCGGCTTTGCTCCCTCATCAGCCCCCGTCAGCAAGCTTGTTAGCACAGTTTATTCAAAAGACATATTTGAACTATCGACTCCTGTCTCATAACCAAACCTAGATGGTACTTGGGACTTAGGACTTGCGATTGGTCAACAACAGTGTGAATTCTTCTCTCAAAGTTAAATCAATCTGAGTGGATTTACGTCACTCGTGAGTCCACCGATTATAGCAATTCTGTTGTAATTAGCAGATTTTGTTGAAGAATTTCTCCTTTTGAAATAATGATGTGACCTTTAGCTTAGTGTAGACCCAGTCCAGGTGTAATCTGTCTCCTGTCGTCCCTCTAGGCGTCCCACCACCAACTTCAACTGGTTCATCAACCCAATGAAGACCTTCATCTTCCTCATCTGGAAGAAGTTCAAGAAGTACATCATCGCACTGGTCATCCTCGCCATCCTCACGCTCTTCCTCGTCCTCATCATCTACACGCTGCCGCAGCAAATCTCCGTCCTCATTGTCAACGGATGAGGAAACCTGCAGGGAGTCTTCATCGCCTCGTCCTAGATGTCACAGAATGTCTCAGGTTTCTGATCTTGAACTGATTGAAGTTATATTTATCTCATTCTCTGTGGAACCAATCAGTAAAACTCATGATTAAATTTGTTTACACTAACTGCACTACATTACCCAGCATTGTTTATATATGTTTTTTGGTTTCCCACACGTCCTGGAAAACCTGGAAATTTAGATGCTGGTTTTCCAGTCATGGAAACACTTGGAAATTGATTAAAATGACCAAATACCCTGGAAATCATTTATGTTTCATATATTTAATTTATGTTGCCCCCTATGTTGGCTCCTATCCCATTCAATAGCTGTCCATACTAGACATGGAGCTGAACAGACTTGCAACGATCTTTTTGCTGCTGGGTCATTTTTTTCCTGGACTTGTGAGCAGAATTCTCAGTGGCCCAGTAGAAATGTTGTAGAGGGTCGTTTTTGAGAAAGCGCTGTCATGAAAAGGTCCTGGAAAATGATTTTTTAAAAAGAGTGGGAACCCTGTAGACACCTATTACTGCAGATTTAAATCATATATTTATATTGTGTAAATTAAAGATTGTTTGACTCTTGTAGCAATGGACAGATTTGTGCTGGACATATCGCATTAATCTGACTGTATTTCCTAAACATAAACATAACCCCATTGTATACAAGTGTAATTTTGTTGATTCAATGTAGTTGTGGGTGCAAATGTTTATTTTGAAAGTAAATAAATAAGTACATTCATATTTTTTGTTTAATTTGTGCTGACTCCCTCATGGAGAGCAGGAATGTGATTAAAGGACATTACATGATGATCTGTACATTAGATAATCAGATATTTGTCTGTGGACTCAAACTCAGCATAACGAGGCAGAAAATATAAACAACACAAAGTAGAGCTGACTCAGATCTCCAGAAAACAGTTTTTGTTTTCTCATAATGAGATAATTAAATATAATTTATAAGACAAAGCAGTTTAATAATATAAATATATTAAAAATATAAATAAATAAATATTTATATATATAATATATATAAAATAAAAGTCAGGACGTCAGACTTCATCCTCATCTTCAGGGTGAGCAACGGGAAGTTAGAAATGGTTTGTTTACAGACGCTCGCTCTGATTGTTTCCTCTGAGACTCTGATGGATCATGATGTTGGCTCGTTGTCTCTACTCTCTGACTATAGGAGGGAAATGATGTCAGAAGACTAGAATGAGGTTCAGTTTTAGCCCAAAAAATGTCCAGATATGCTGTTAGATCACAGTTATTTAACGCTGCACTAATGGAATGACTCAAGGGTCCGTCAGTCAGTCTGTCTGCCACTTTAGATCAGACTAAAATATATCTACAACTACTGGATCAATTCCAGTCAAAATACTACAAAATGTTGAATGCTAATGTATAATTTAATTTAATATAAATTAATAAATAAAACAACATTTTCATGAAGCAGCTTGTGGAAATTAATGAACCTGATGAATGAAACATTATGTGAGGAGCTGTACGAGTGATCAAAGTTTGATTTATTACTGCTGAAATTGTTGACTGGACAGATGCAAATCATCACTGATTTAAATGATGAGATTTCTGATATGTAATTTAATTTTTATTTTTTTTTACATTTCCTGTAATATTTTTATTACATATATATGTATTTATTTGTTTATTTTATTATTGTCAGCACATCTGTGATTAGTTAGGGC